AAAACTCTGGGCTCAACAGGGACACCCCTTCCCAAATCCCTTTTATTGGAATTTCCCTGTAGTGTCTGAGTGGGGTCACACTGACGCCCTGGCACCTGTTCCACACCCACCAGCTCCATCAATGTAAAGCTCCTCCGTGAACACACCCTGTGTACATGTGTAGCCATCTTCATTCCTGAGCAAGCTTGGACGCAGTTGTGTGCATGTATGTTTTTTTGGTTTCTGATATTATGTGTGCTTGCAAAAAAGGGCGGAGAGAGTATCCAAGACTCACTGAAGTCATTCCTTCAATGTGAGGACAACCATCTGTGCCACTGTTCTGCAAGAGGACTGTTCTGTGGTCTGTTGTCTCACATTTTTTTACCAAAACAAAGTGAGATAAAGTCAGATGCAAATGCTGTTTTGCATGAGAGTAACTGCACACTTTTAATCCCTGAAGTAAAACTATTACATATATACTCACATGTAAATGGAATTGAGATCAGCACACATAAAGCCATCAAATTAAGAGAAGGTCTGAGCTTTTGATACCAAATACAAAAGGTTGAGCACCATTATCCACTGACTTCTCTTCGGCTGTGTCAGAAATCCACTTATGATTCCTTTCCCCCTGCTCCAAGTGGATATAAATGATGTTCTAAAATGAATTGAAGGTCTGTGACATGCGAAAGTAGCTAGGCAATCTATCATGTTACTTAGAGATAATTAAAGTAGAGCACAAATTGACTCTTAGTGGGAAAAGTAGTACGTGTCTGAGCATCGAGTGCCCTAAATCTGTCATTCACAATGCTTTAAAAAACAGCCATGTTTTATTCATAATGTTCAAATTTACAACCACTCTTGATGCAATGCTCCTTTGAGGTGAACGGACAAGAGTGATTGTGTCTCTGTCCTAAACAGGCATCATTTTCCTCTAAGTGCCTCTTATGAGGAATTACCAGCTCGCCAAGTGGATAGAAGAATGTGGGAAGCGAAACAGAGTGGAGTGATTGAGAGAGAAAGAAAGGATGAATGAAACAATGCCAGAGTGCAGCTACCTCAATAGTCCATTAGACACTTTTTTAAATTAGACCTCATCCAAACACCCACCCAGCATTGTCTTACTCTTAATCAAACCTGCACAATAACCGCAGCTGAATTGCAGACGGTAACAGATGCAAATCTAATAACCAGACATTACTAATCTCATCAAGACTGTCTCTTTCCCTGTAAAGAACATCTATCTGCTCATTACAACCAGCGCGGGCAGAGGCCACGCGGTGTGTCTCTGCTGATGTATGATGTCGGAGCGTACCAATTAGTGTCGGGAGATTGCATGGTTTGGTCTGTTCATAACTCATGTATTTTGATATGATTAGAGACGGACAAAGGTCAAAATGCATGCTTCATTATCCACTACTAGGTATTTCATGGGGATTTTCAATCGCTATATCTCATTTTTGTGTCCATAACATTCTTGCATTTTGATTATTAAGCCAAGTTAAGTTATGGTTCCTTCAAATAATGTGAAATGTCTTCATAATGCATCCACTTTACTTTAGTTATATCATTTACAGCAACAGTGTGCTGTCAAAGCTGCCTTCTGTTAACAGATAATCAGATGGTGATGTGTATCAAGAAAGAGATTTTATCAACGTATTTTACATTGAATAGCAAAATGATCACTCTTATTAAAAAAGGGGAACCATGAGATTAGCTACTGATGGCTCAGACATGTTGTGTGTAGTGGAGCAACTTTTCAAAAGTCAGCCAACCTTAACCCTCCACTTATACGCCAGGAAACAATCCCAACCTTTGTTACTTAAAAAGAATATCACAAAAAAATAGAGCAAGGTATTTGAGAATCATCGATATTTGATGAATTAGATATTTGTACTGGAGTTGTTTACATTCACTCCCACCAAAACACATTGCATGTATTTTAGGGTTGACGTGGGTTGAATACATTTCCCTTACTCGAATAACATCTGCAATACCAAAGTATTTACAATGCTCCATGTCTTGTCTCTCTATGATTTATTTGGCAAATTGTGATTTTGTAGAACAACAGGTCAAAAAGATAAACCTTGATTAACAAAAGAAGCCAAACTTCTCATAGTTAGATTCTATAAAACACACATATATAACTATATATTTCAAATATTATTTAATTGAAAAAATGAAGCTCTCCAGCCTGATATAAGAACTAAAAACACTGCATGGTAGGGAAAAATGCCATTACTTGGAACCTTTATCTGATGGAGTAATCTATATGCTTGCTCCTGGTTTATTGAGCACACCAGGGATCTAAACATATCCCATTGCTTTTTTGACCCAGCTAATCAATACAGTCTGTCGATAGCTGCCTATATGACAGCATGCAGGCCATGTGGAGGCAGCTAAGAGGTGCTGGAGAGCAAAGAGCGTTTCCATGAAGTCAAGGTTCCTGTTGGGAGGTAATTAGATGCCTGGTGAACCCCTACTTTGCCCGCTCTCTTCTTTCTTTTATTCTGTTAAAATCCCATGTACCCGTCTTTCTTTTTTTTTGCCGCCCTATAGAGGGTATCCAGCTGTGACAGAGTGATTCCACATTCGAACCCCGTCTGCCTCGGCCTGTCAGAGAGATCACTCTCATCATCCCCGTGTCAGTGGCAAAGTTGCTGTGCAGACAAAGAATATCCGATGGCCTGTCAGGTACAGAGGCTGTCACAATACCCTGTCCTGTTTAAATCCGAGCTCCCGTCGGGTGGGAAAAAGTTAAATAAACAGAGCTGACACGTTCGTAAATTCCCTATTTAGCAAGAGAATTTAAATGACCTGTGAGTAGAAATTTAAATATACAAACATACAAGTTTTCAATCCACAATGATTTACTTTTGATAATTTGCATCCTTTTTTTATTATGCAGTTTTAGTTAGTAACCGTCTCTAACTTGAAAAAATATCTTATCTTCAGCAAAAGTAAAAAAAAAAAATAAAAACGACAGATCATTCATATATTCATCGGACACAGCAGGGTAGGGGGATTGGCTTAAAGCCTATCCCTGGTTGGAGGAGTGAGTGACCTAATCAAAAATAAATGTATTTTTTCCAAGGATTTCCGCGTGTGCGCTTAACCATCACATAATAAACGGGAATTCATAGAACATGAGTAACAGAATTGCCAGCAGGATTTTGTAGCGGATTCCTGTTTTGACTGGTCCGCCACAGGCCAGTAGAGGAATCCTGTCATGTCTGTGGAGTAGAATAAAGTGTGATCTATGATTCTTACACACACACACACACACACACACACACACACACACACACACACACACACACACACACACACACACACACACACACACACACACACACACACACCCCCCTTCCCCCAATCACCCTCACACACTCATAAACCATGGTGTGGTGATAAAGCTGTCATTGCTACTAGACTAACAGCTACTGTGTTTACCTCCCCATCGAGCTGCCCCAGACAGACATGTGTGTTCTCTCTCTCTCCCCTCACAATGACGAGGCTCCCTCTCTGGGAACTAGCCTCTCTCAGTCTTACGGTTAACCAAACGATGCCCTCATTAACAGCACACCTGTTATTCTCGGCAGACTTGGCCTGAATTAGGGGGAACATGTGTTGTAATCTGTCGGCACCTGCAGACTTGTCAGGGCTGACTTCTGACAGACCCCTAATCGGGTGACTCATGCCAAACCGTATCTACTGTACTGTTGGAGTAAGCTGTCATTTTAATTCCAAACCATTCTAAGCAGGGAGTCTGAATGAGAGCAGCACTGAGACTGATGTGTAAGAAAGCATGACAAATGGTCAAAGGGTGCTGTAACACGGTTACACAGTTCAGATTGTGAGACTGGACAGAATCAGGGGATTGATTAACAGCATTTTGACATTTTACAAAGGAAACCCTCATTCAGCCTGCACAATATAGAACAAAAAAAAGTGTTTCTGACCCCTCTGGGCATACAGAACCACACACCAACAACAGTGAGGCTGAGGGTAAGACCAGTTTCCAGGGTTGCATCCTTTACAACTAGAGTGAGAGAAATAAAGAATAAGCAGGGCATGTGTTCGCAAAGACATGAGGAGCTGCTGCTGCCTCTTGGAGCTTAATGGTGAAAAAGCACGGTCTCGAAACGTGATTCCCCACAGTGCTTCACTGCATGGGGCTCGGGGTGCAGCCTGTAGAGAGCTGAGGGTGTGGGAGCGGAAGCGCCTTAACTGGTAATATGAACAGCTAGAATTTCTCCCAACCTAAATGGTTTCTGACAGAGCTGGTCTTATATTCTTGCACCTTGCAGTAAGCTGCAGGAGACAGATTTATCCTTTTTTTCGTTTGTATTGGTAAGCTGTGCAAGCTGCTATGTCGCCTTTAGATGAAAAGGCACATTAGTGGATGATGCATTTTTTTAAAGAATGTCAACAGTGCCACACCTATTTATTCATTCCAACCAAATATTCTACACTTAGAAGTTACATATTCAAAGGCACAATTGATAGTGAGCCACATCAGAAGTGAGTTTACATAGAGCATTTACTACCAAGTGGATACACGTTAATAGGCTAACTATACCAAATAGGATAAGCTTTACACCCTGTAGCTATCCAACCACAACATTTATCAGCAGTTTTTTTTCCGATGCTACCCTCAGTATCGACTATCACAATGTCACCTTATATCCAATATTCGCTCCTGTGAATCTGTCAGAGCAGGAGACGCAGTGCCAGTCCCTCTTGAGACCTGCGCACCGCTGACTCACGCCTCACACACTGTGATGCCCTCTTCGTAGTAAAGTGATGCAAGCATACAGTGTTCCTGACACGATAAACCACTATGATGTCATCGCCTAGTAAAGTTCAATCTATGACGACACATCTTTCTAGAAACAGTAAATAGAGAAGCATTCTAACACCTCGCACGCTCACACATATACACAGGCACGCACAGGCTGTATGCGTGAGCGCAATCATAATATGGTAATGGCATCAAGCTTGTTTAATTCTCTACTTACCAGCACTATACTTTGATCCCCATCCTTGATCCGACTTGTATCCGATGTCAAATCAATAAAACTGCCTCCAGATATTCCAAAATGTAAGCGCTTACAAAACAGCCTGTTAAACCGGCATCAGTGGGAGAAGTAGACTCCAGTCTGATTAGTGTAAGTGGGTAAATGTCTGTTGATAGTAGATAAATGTCCTGGCTCTTGACAGCTTTCCACCGGGGAACAGCGGTCACTGACTGAGAGCTGACGCCGTGAAAAAGTGCGTCCCTGAAGGCGTGGCGACGGTCCTGTCCTGCGCCACGGAGACACGGCGGACCGCACAGCACATCCACACGTCCTCAGAGCAAGTGTTCAGACCGAGGAGAGGAGAGGGAACTACTAACACAGCCGTCAAGTAGGGAAAATAAGGTGGCTTCCACTTACGGTTTTCAAAATAAAACGCTCAATGACGAACAGGGGTTGCACTCTGCTAAATGGGAGACGTACTGCCTCGAGCGCTTGCTTTACTCACTCGGGGACTTTTATTGATGTTTTTTCTTCTTCCTATATCCTCTCATTTACACAGTTAACATCAGGGCTTGAGGGACCAGGAATACAAATGAATAAATAAACATTGTTTATAGATGTACATTTTCGTCATAGCTCAGTTAAGTCTCATTTTAATGCATAATATCGTGATTTTATTTTTGAAGGAAGGTTGATTTCCGGTAGTGTACTGATCTCTGGTAGAGAAACACGCACAAAGACACACACACACACACACACACACACACACACACACACACACACACACACACACACACACACACACACACACACACACACACACACACTTCTCTTTTCACAGTACTATAGACTGTATCCTTGTTTGTCAGTTACTAAGTTTGAAAAAGACACAATACTATATGTGTAATAGCCTTGGACATCAAAACCAATATAAGAGGAAGAACAAGAATTTTAATTCCCTATTAGCTAATGCGTCATCTCATTATACACAAGCTCTAGACCAGAGAGGTTATCTGCCCAAACCGTTTCGGGAAGATTACATGAAACAATGAGCACTTTCATTTGTAATACCCAGGAAAATCCCTTCACGGCCTGAGTGACACTCACTACCTGTGACCCCTGATTGAAACTTGGAATAAAGAAATTATGCTGATATTAAGAGCCAGTCTGTATTTCCGTTAAAACCATAGCTAAATATTGCCATTCAACTAATTCAACAGCAATGAGGGAATGTTTAAAACCTCCCTATTGAGTAGAGATGAGAGGCTAGAATAATGGGTAAAGGGAGTGGCGCATTGCCTGCTAGCCCGACTGCTACTGACATGTTGTTTTACATGGTTGAGGTGTAAATTATTGGAGGTAAAGTAATTAATTTGTGGGGAAGTGATGTGAGAAAGAGAGGGAGAGACGGATGGAGAGAGAAATAATTAAGCGGATGAGCTGCATAGTGGTAAAGGTCCTTGTCTGGCTATAAGGGGCTGTGAGAGCTGCTGTCCCTGGAGCTGGGATGCCTGCTGCTGGGCCCTGTGGTGAGGGACGGGACCACAAGTCTGACATTGCAGCAGAGGAAAGAGATAAAGCACTCTCTCTCTTATACACACACACATCGGCACTGAAGCAGGTGCAGAGGGTCCTGCTACAGTGAAAAGGCAAATCAACCTTCATGTAAGCATTGCTTTAAAACATGAAGGGCACACAAAGAGCACATGCCTTTTCCTGCAATGTTTGAATGTCAGAAATATTTTGTGTATCTGCCATGTGATTTGGATCAGCTCCTACATTGAATGGGTTCATTCTTGGCCCATGTTACACCGTTACACCAAGTTTCAATAATCAGAGCAGTAGTTTTTCTCCTAATGCTTCTGAGAAAGAGACAGAAAAAAAACATAACCTCATTGGAGGAGGTAAAAAGCACTGACTTTTTTTGTCACTGGCAGACTGAAAATTGAAATGTGTTTGAGGTTGGTTTCAGTAATTCACTCCATTACTCTGCCTCTCAACCGTTCTTAGGTTTGGCCCTTTTGTGTGTTAGAGAGTGTGTTGTGTTTGTATGTGTGTGTAGTCACTTGAACAGAAGCCTCAACTAATGATTACAAAACAGAGCATTGTGGTGCCCCTGCACAAGTGAAGGGCTCTTTCTTTAGTTGGCAAATAGCAGAGGATGCAGGCAGTCACATTCAAATGTTTCACATCGCCTCGGCTCCCCACTCTCCCCTCACAGACTCTCATTATACAGTGAAGGTGTTGCAACAGTATCAGTGACAGGTGCTGATTGCAGCTTTCACACTAACAATGTCTCAAAGTTTGTTTGCTGTTTTCCCCCCTTCTTTTTTTTCAAAATCATTTGCATGCAGTATATAACACCCACATTGCGCCTTATCAAAAGCTGTTGCTTGGTGACGGCACGAGGGAACAACATCCCAGACAAGTGTTGTTTATGAAATTGACGGTTATGGATCAAACTGAGCCCCATCAGCCAGTAAAGGTGAGGATTTTTAACAGATAGAGTATTCACAGAAACAGCAGCTTTATGAAGAATTTCAGAAATGTTGTTCTGCCAATACCTTTCAGAAAGGCTAAGTTTAGACATACAGTATGAGAACAAAAGGCAGCTGGTAGCAGTCGATGTGACCTTGCAGAACGTGTCTACTTAACAGGTACTGACTGATTCAATGCCTTAAGATCATTCTCCTGAAAGCAGCGTTGTTGTTTTCTTTTTCATCTTTTCCTCTGACTTCTAGTTGCCCTTTAGTATTTCTTTCTCTCTTCTCTAACAACCCTGTTTCCTTGGCCTTCCTGCAGGGCCCAACCTGCCTTGCCAGGGGTAAACTCATTATTTACGCAACATAAAATGCACCAATACAACATGAAAACGCTTTTGCATTCATCACAAAGATAAATCACTTGTAAATGAGGCTATACGTTTTAGAAAAAAAATGAGGTTTCCAATGGTACAAGCAGCACACAGTGTAATTAGACCCTGCTAATCATACTGTAAGTGGAAGAAATGTTGATACATTTGAGGAAGAGGTTTGTTATTTTGAATGAGGATGTTCTGTTCAAAACTGTTCAGCAAAACTTCCCTTGTTCACAACAGAACAGACACGCAGATAGCTGCCGGAGTTGGAGATGAGTGGGAGGAAAGAGACAATCGAGAAGAGGCATTCAGGAGAGAGATAGCTATATTAAAAAGGGCGAATAGGGAGTCTTCACAGGGAGATTCCTGGAGTCTGTGTTTCTATAGGACCTTTAACTGTCTGTTATTTGTTTGTTTTTTACTGCTACTTGTGTAGAGCTGGCCAAACTGTTGTCAGTACCAGATCCCAGTTTAGTCCGCCACCCTCGCCAATCCGTCCTCTCTTCCCCAGGCGCCTCTCTGTCTCCTCGAGCGAATGGCTCTGTCTGTACGCCACCCGTCCTGTGTGCCCCCTTTTCAGAAGAAAACGAGGTGACAAAAACAAGAACGCTTTTTTGTCGTGGGTAAGGGGGAAAGGGAGGGTTGTCTCCCCCAGTTGTAGCCCCCCGTCTGGCAGGCCGATCTGGAAAGCGCTGAGGAGTGAACAGACACAACAACGAGAACCAAAAGACGGCAACAGGAGCCAGAATACTGTTTTCAGTGCAAAGACAAAGAAGGTCAGGACAGTTTGATCTGGAGGTGATGATACAGGTAGATACGGTATGTGTTGCTCTTGTGTTCATTTTTTTGGGGAAAGCTGAAAAAAGACAAAAGTATATATCCATCCATCCATCTTCTCCCGCTTATCCCTGGTCGGGTCGCGGGGGTAGCAGTTCCAGCAGAGAGCCCCAAACTTTCTTTTCCCTGCCCACATCAACCAGCTCTGAAAAGCCGTGAGCGGGAGCGCGCTCCTTCACTACAGACTGTTGCTATCAATATATCTATCTCTCTCTCTCTCTCTCTCTCTCAATCTATCTCTCAATCTATAAGGAACCGCAGTAGACAAAAGGCGTTGCTATAGCATGTTTGTTTACACGCAAAATCAATAGCGCCGATCCAGTGAGTGCTGAAGGTCGCAGACCGATGAAGCCATTAGAACCACATCATCTGCAAAAAGCAGTGGTGCAATCCTTAGTCCATCGAACTGCAGACCCCCTCCCCCACTACTACGCCTCGAAATCCTATCCATGTATTTTACAAACAGGATTGATGACAAAGCGCAGCCCTGGCGGAGGCCAAACCTCCTGTGTACAAAAGTATATATAATTTGCATAAAACATACTGTATCATGAACCAGGACAGGTGGTGTAATAGAAAGAGCTGAAAATAATTATTTGTACGAAGGAAGTCAAGGCAGTTGGTTTGCTCTAAAAACACAGGACCCCACCCAGAAACCACGCGGGAAACCAGAAGTCAACATTGACTTATTTGTAACGTAACTCCTAAATAATGTCCCTTCCTAAGTTATTTTGAGCCAAACCAAAGTACTTTTTTTCAAGTTCTGCACTGTGGGGCTTGTGGTGGTACAGCAGTATTGTATGAGGATACGTTGATTAAATAAACATTTAACCCCACTTCCGCATGCAGAGAAATTCAAAAGTGACAGGCCTGCCATGCCTTCTGTTACTTCTCTGTGATGGACAGCCACAGTGCATGGGCAGGGTTTAGAAATAGTTAGTATAGTAATCATACACCATCAGCTGTTTCCTTAAAAAACCGCTGGCTTGATTATGCAGAACTTTTGGCTGAGAGAAAAACTCAAAACAACTCGACATCCCTATTTAGAAACTTAAATTCAAGGTGAAAACTTTAAAGCACTAAATAAGAAATCCAGAAGCAGACATGTGATCAGGTAAAACATTACAAACATACAAACAATCAAGTGGTTTTCCCTAAATGTAAGTTAAACTGAAATGAAAACTCATCTCTTTCGACTCCACTTCGAGCGATAGAATTACTAACAAAGCACTTATATACTAATAAAGGACTGGCTTATCTAAAGCCAGTTGAGTAGCACTTGAAATGTTTTAGCTCTATGAAACCTGATGTACTTATATGATTCTGTTTTCTTCAAGTTTGTACTTTGTTGGTCGAACGCACTTATTGTAAGTCGCTTTGGATAAAANGTAAAATGTAGAGTATTATCTGGATAGCGAAATGTAGAATGGTTCACATTTGGGATGTGGTCGGTGAGTCGCATGAACACAGTCAAGTCAGAAGGCATTGCCTGACAACGCATGCCGTTGGCATAATCTACAGCAGTGGTCGCCAACCAGTCGATCGCGATCGACCGGTCAATCGCGAGTGTGGTGCGGGTAGATCGCGGACCGTTAAAAAAAAAAGTAACAAAATAAAAATAAAATTACAATAATAATGTTTGA